TACAATCGGCCGGCAGGTATTCTCTGCCAAGCGTACAACCTGGTTCAATTGTCGCCAGTCTTTTGGCAACTGGCAACAAGTCAACAACAACTGAACAGCTTGGTATGGTGCCAAACAGTCTAGTTAGTGGCATGTGACCAGCAGTGTAACCCCTAGCAAAACGGACACCAACCAAACCCAGTGCCGTGCAACCAGCCGTCGGATCTATCATGCTAAAAGTACAGCAGGTCGTTATCTAGTGGACGTTACCGTTACGCCGCAAAGCAAAACGTCGGTCCCTTTCAACAACGACTGAACAGTTCGGCATGGTGCCAAACAGTTTAGTTAGTGCCATGTGACCAGCCGTGTAACCCCTAGCAAAACGGACACCAACCAAACCCAGTGCTGCGTAACCAGCCGTCGGATCTGAGGTATGGAGTCGCCCCGGTCCCCGGTAGGGAGCCGTGTTCCGTGTTCCCATAAATATACCGGCTGTCCGGCGAGGAGCATGTTCCGTGTTCCCACCTTCCAAATGCCTCTAATGCCCATATCTACAACACGATGCTGTAAATGTCACCCAGTTGATGTCGAATTTATAACTTGGCACTGGATTCCTGCAGGAAACACGCTTCCATATGATCCCGTGCTCCAACGTATTCCTTCCGTGTTCCCATCCTCTGTGCGTGGGAGTCTGGTCCGGCAAGCACGAAACCCATCGTATGATATCTGCCAATGCTTCAGCATTAGCTAGAGGCCCTTCCTGGCATGGTAGGTATGCGTGCACCCCCGGAACATGGCCGGATTTGCATGGGAACACGGGAACACGCAGACCACAGACGTGCGTGTTCCCGTCCCCTGTGCGTGGGAGTCTGGTCAGGCAAGCACGAAATCAGACGTGTGACGTCCGCCAATGCTTCAGCATCAGCTAGAGGCCCTTCCTGGCATGGTAGCTGTGCGTGCACCCTCGGAACATGGCCAGAATTGCATGGGAACACGGGAACACGCATACCACAGATGTGCGTGTTCCCATCCCCTGTGCGTGGGAGTCTGCTTAAGCAAGCCCGAGACCAATCGTGTGATGTCCGCCAATGCTTCAGCATCAGCTAAAGGCCCTTCCTGGCATGGTAGCTGTGCGTGCACCCTCGGAACATGGCCAGAATTGCATGGGAACACGGGAACACGCATACCACAGATGTGCGTGTTCCCATCCCCTGTGCGTGGGAGTCTGCTTAAGCAAGCCCGAGACCAATCGTGTGATGTCCGCCAATGCTTCAGCATCAGCTAGAGGCCCTTCCTGGCATGGTAGCTGTGCGTGCACCCTCGGAACATGGCCAGAATTGCATGGGAACACGGGAACACGCATCCCACAGACGTGCGTGTTCCCATCCTCTGTGCGTGGGAGTCTGCTTAAGCAAGCCCGAGACCAAACGTGTGACGTCCTCCAATGCTTCCGCATCAGCCAGAGGCCCTTCCTGACATGGTAGCTGTGCGTGCAACCTCGGAACATGGCCAGATTTGCATGGGAACACGCACTGTGCAGTCATACACAGCCTGTGCCATTTGTAGAGTAATCGTACGCTCAGAAGGTTATGAGTCCAATGGCAGGACCAGCGTCCTTTGCCAAACCACGAAGCATGTCAGGGTCACTCGTCAGGGTACGGTGACGCGAACGTACCACATCTACGTGTTGCCATCATAAACAACAGTTTAATGCCACCTTTGTGCAAATTGTATGGCGCTACGGCCACCCCCGGCTGCGGCAAGCATGTGTTGCCGTACATCGGACATGTATTCTGCCTCCTCCGGCAATTACAATATCCCAGTTAGATAGAGTGTTGCAATATTATGTTGCTGCTCTTTTCACGAAGCAGGGAGCTTGGCGAAAGTTGTTGCAAATTGGCAAAGCAGCCCTTTAATTACACGCATTTGCAAAGCATGCACTGTCCTTACCAGCATAAAATGTAAAGCAATTCATCTTAAAGTAGCAGAAAGCGCTGAAGTTGCGTTTTGCAGGAGGCCATGCTGGTCAATTGACAAAACTGAACCTTCTCTCCCAGGATTGCGCAGACAGGGTTTATCATATGATTAGCGTTCTGTTTGTTGTCTCTTTTGTTTACTTTTCTTCTTTTGGTTGTTTTCGCGTTTTGTGCTCGCGATCCATGAGCCTTCTGGCTCGGACGGATCTTACGAGCTCGGTACGAAGCTTGTAACACATACATACATACATACAACCTTCTCTCGCGAAAATTACTCCCTTCTGCCATCGACAAGACTACCGTAAACAAACCATCAACCATAGCTTGAAGGCGCAGTTTAAACAGGGAAGTCTTGCCATGGGCCCACGGAACAGCACAAGACGTTACAAAGCCGCACAAGCCTGAAGATACACACAGGATAAACCCGTTCATGTAGGATCATTTGGCCAGGTGTTGGGCTCGATCGGTTGCACCATGCGAGCGTGATTGGGCAGGATGTGCTGTTCAGACCGGGTGCATGGTGGGGGACCTAGTGAAACCCAGGGTTTGGGATGGGTATCCGACCATGCAAGCGGCGCCTGACCCCGCCGTCACACCTATGGATTCCTTAGACATGTAGGATCATGCGGCCAAGCGTTGGGCTCGATTGGTTGCACCATGCGAGCGTGGTTGGGCAGGATGTGCTGTTCAGACCGGGTGCATGGTGGGGGGCCTAGTGAAACCCAGGGTTTGGGGTGGGTATCCGACCATGCGAGCGGCACCTGACCCCGCCGTCACACCTATGAACTCCTTAGACATGTAGGATCATGTGGCCAAGCGTTGGGCTCGATTGGTTGCACCATGCGAGCGTGGTTGGGCAGAATGTGCTGTTCAGACCGGGTGCATGGTGGGGGGCCTAGTGAAACCCAGGGTTTGGGATGGGTATCCGACCATGCAAGCGGCGCCTGACCCCGCCGTCACACCTATGAACTCCTTAGACATGTAGGATCATGCGGCCAAGCGTTGGGCTCGATTGGTTGCACCATGCGAGCGTGGTTGGGCAGGATGTGCTGTTCAGACCGGGTGCATGGTGGGGGGCCTAGTGAAACCCAGGGTTTGGGGTGGGTATCCGACCATGCGAGCGGCACCTGACCCCGCCGTCACACCTATGAACTCCTTAGACATGTAGGATCATGTGGCCAAGCGTTGGGCTCGATTGGTTGCACCATGCGAGCGTGGTTGGGCAGGATGTGCTGTTCAGACCGGGTGCATGGTGGGGGGCCTAGTGAAACCCAGGGTTTGGGGTGGGTATCCGACCATGCGAGCGGCACCTGACCCCGCCGTCACACCTATGAACTCCTTAGACATGTAGGATCATGTGGCCAAGCGTTGGGCTCGATTGGTTGCACCATGCGAGCGTGGTTGGGCAGGATGTGCTGTTCAGACCGGGTGCATGGTGGGGGGCCTAGTGAAACCCAGGGTTTGGGGTGGGTATCCGACCATGCGAGCGGCACCTGACCCCGCCGTCACACCTATGAACTCCTTAGACATGTAGGATCATGTGGCCAAGCGTTGGGCTCGATTGGTTGCACCATGCGAGCGTGGTTGGGCAGGATGTGCTGTTCAGACCGGGTGCATGGCGGGGGACCTAGTGAAACCCAGGGTTTGGGGTACGTATCCGACCATGCGAGCGGCACCTGACCCCGCCGTCACACCTATGAACTCCTTAGACATGTAGGATCATGTGGCCAAGCGTTGGGCTCGATTGGTTGCACTATGCGAGCGTGATTGGACAGGATGTGCTGTTCAGACCGGGTGCATGGTGGGGGGCCTAGTGAAACCCAGGGTTTGGGGTACGTATCCGACCATGCGAGCGGCACCTGACCCCGCCGTCACACCTATGAACTCCTTAGACATGTAGGATCATGTGGCCAAGCGTTGGGCTCGATTGGTTGCACCATGCGAGCGTGGTTGGGCAGAATGTGCTGTTCAGACCGGGTGCATGGCGGGGGCCTAGTGAAACCCAGGGTTTGGGGTGGGTATCCGACCATGCGAGCGGCACCTGACCCCGCCGTCACACCTATGAACTCCTTAGACATGTAGGATCATGTGGCCAAGCGTTGGGCTCGATTGGTTGCACTATGCGAGCGTGATTGGGCAGGATGTGCTGTTCAGACCGGGTGCATGGTGGGGGACCTAGTGAAACCCAGGGTTTGGGGTACGTATCCGACCATGCGAGCGGCACCTGACCCCGCCGTCACACCTATGGACTCCTTAGACATGTAGGATCATGTGGCCAAGCGTTGGGCTCGATTGGTTGCACCATGCGAGCGTGGTTGGGCAGAATGTGCTGTTCAGACCGGGTGCATGGTGGGGGACCTAGTGAAACCCAGGGTTTGGGGTGGGTATCCGACCATGCGAGCGGCACCTGACCCCGCCGTCACACCTATGAACTCCTTAGACATGTAGGATCATGTGGCCAAGCGTTGGGCTCGATTGGTTGCACCATGCGAGCGTGGTTGGGCAGAATGTGCTGTTCAGACCGGGTGCATGGTGGGGGACCTAGTGAAACCCAGGGTTTGGGGTACGTATCCGACCATGCGAGCAGCACCTGACCCCGCCGTCACACCTATGGACTCCTTAGACATGTAGGATCATGTGGCCAAGCGTTGGGCTCGATTGGTTGCACCATGCGAGCGTGGTTGGGCAGAATGTGCTGTTCAGACCGGGTGCATGGTGGGGGACCTAGTGAAACCCAGGGTTTGGGGTACGTATCCGACCATGCGAGCGGCGCCTGACCCCGCCGTCACACCTATGGACTCCTTAGACATGTAGGATCATGTGGCCAAGCGTTGGGCTCGATTGGTTGCACCATGCGAGCGTGGTTGGGCAGGATGTGTGCTTCAGATGCAGGATGGCCCATGGGACCCGGTCAATCACACGGTTTGGCGAGGCCAGCGCACCTTTCGAGCTGGTTTCTTTTATATTATGGTTAATAGAGAAGTGCTGATGTACAAGACAAGGCAGGTAGAACTTTAATGTTTAATTTTGGCGTCAAGCAAAAATGTGGTTTTGGAGCGCCGTAAGCCCGCATCAGGTCGATGTACGGCGTTCCTGGTTGACTGTTTACTGCTGGAGTTGACTTGCTTACTGGCTCTTTACTCCTATGTTGCTGACACTGTCTACTTGCTGGCTGTTTAGGGCCGCGGTTGGTTGATCTTTAGGCGCCTCCGTAAGATTTTAGTTTAGCAATACGCCTAATCCAAATTAATCCCGCCCGATTATGCACCTCTTACGGCAGCAGACAAGGCCTCTGGTAACAACACAGAGAAAAGAACCCCCAAGCGGCTGAGGCCCATCTAAATAAGTCAACGCAACTCCGCAATGACCGTTAGCCATACAGTACCAGCCATGCCGCAACAACATAAATAACGAAGAATTACGCGCACGTTTGGGCTCGCGCAGCCTTATGTGCAAATGCTGAGAAACGTGGAAGCCATGACAGCTCGGAACCGCAGCCGCGCCAGCCAGGCCCTGCAGTCACTTCTGTTTGCGCTAACCAGTGACAATGAAACGCAGTTTATGGCAGGTACGGAACTATGGTAAATTATGGCAGCCGGAACACTTCCGCGCCTTCACGGCCTCCGCAACGCTAGCTCAAGGCTCTTCGACTGCCGGGTCGGCGCCCGCACCGGCACTCCGCCGGCATCCATACGTCGATTTCCGCAGCTTTCCAGAGCCCGAGGGGCCGCACAGCACGCAGTGTTCGCTCGCAGCGACACTCGCCGCAGGCCCTGCGGGTGCAGGGGGAGGCAGCACGCCCAGCCACCCAGCTCATTTAGGGATGAGCAGCGGCGGGTGCGCCGCCGCTTCTGAAAGCGACTGCAATGGTGAGTCCCGCCCTCCGGTCGACAGGCCTTGGGGGGCTGCGTGATGTGTCGTCACCCTGCCGTCGGGGGAGACGAGGCGCAGGTACCGCGAGAAGGGCCCGCCCGACTGCGCCGCGAGCGTAAAGGGTGTGCATGCCGCGAGAAGGGCATTGCGCTGTGTTGTTACCCCTCCGTCGGGGGAGAGAGGCGTAGGTACCGCGAGAAGGGCCCGCCCGACTGCGCCGCGAGCGTAAAGGGTGTGCGTGCCGCGAGAAGGGCATTGCACCGTGTGTTGTCACCCTGCCGTCGGGGGAGACGAGGCGCAGGTACCGCGAGAAGGGCCCGCCCGACTGCGCCGCGAGCGTAAAGGGTGTGCATGCCGCGAGAAGGGCATTGCATTGTGTCGTGTGATCTATGTATTGGCTTGACCACCTGCCATGACCTGTATATTGCCGTGACCACCTGCCGAGGCCTTGTGTACTGATGTGTTCTTTTCTGGAAGCCACCGGGCGTGCGGGACCTCCTGCTGGTTACCCCGGGCTGCCGACCGCCTCGGCAGCCAAAGCGGGCCGCGCGCGTCGCGGCTCCCCCCCTCTACGCTGCCCCCCTTCCCCTAGCGCCCCATTCCTCCTCGCAGGCAATTGAGAGGAAGACATGCGGCAGAGGCGTGGGTCCAATCCAGCTGGCACGGGCCTGGCGACAGACCGCCGCGCAAGACAGCATGGCGTCAGTGCGGCGTCCATTTCCCTACCTCTCGCAACGCTGCGGCACGGGAATCACTTTTCCAGCCACCATGATAACCTCAACAGCAGCCGGGCTCACGGAGCTGTACGACCCTCACGCGCCCACGTGGGACGGTGCCAACTGCTGCGTCGTCTCAGATCATGACTGGGTGGTGGGGGATTCTCAGAGTAGTAACCCTCACCGACGCAGCGGCCTTGTTGCAGCCGGGGGCGCAGGCGGAGGTGCAGGACGAGAGGACCTGACAGCGACCCTGCAGCTGCGGCCCGCCGCCTCTGGTGTTGCGGCGCTGCAGCGAGCTAGCCGGCCTTCGGGAATTTGGAGGTCCACGGGTCCCTGGCTTCGGACGAGGAAATCACGGAGCAAGACCAGAGTAGGGGGCTTTTACGGGCGAGGGGACCTTCGCGGTTGTGGGCGCCGCGGACCAGCTGGCTATCAGCGTCTCTACAGCCACAGCGGGGCTACGGCTCGGTCGAGGCCGGTTAGTGACGCTATTGCGTGTTCGTGGACCCACGGCTGTTGGTGATTAGAGGCCACGTGAGCGTGCACCAGTAGAATCCGCATGCAGGAAGCGACCGAGTCGAACTGGGTTGGGGGGGGTTGTTCGTGCACCTGCATGCGGTTGCCTGTCCGGCATAGTAGGCAGCGGCATGGCAGGCACACCTGCGGGCGGCCCAGGCCGGCGCAGTGCATTGTTCTCCCCCATTTCCAGTTAACACCCCTCTTTGGGCTTGGGGATGGGTGCGTCGGAATTAAGGCTAGCGGAGGCTGTAGGGGACGTGTTTGCAGACGAGCTAGGTGACGTAGGAAGTCAGGTCCTGACACCCTTGAATGGTTGCGAGTTTTGTTTAGGGCTGCTGCAGTGCTGTGAGTAACTGTGCGTCTAGCCGGCACACGTGCTTGTAAGTTGTTATAACTGGCGTTTCTTCGCGCCGTGCATCCAGGGAGGGCAGGCGAAACAAAAGTTTAATTTTGGCGTCAAGCAAAAATGTGGTTTTGGAGCGCCGTAAGCCCGCATCAGGTCGATGTACGGCGTTCCTGGTTGACTGTTTACTGCTGGAGTTGACTTGCTTACTGGCTCTTTACTCCTATGTTGCTGACACTGTCTACTTGCTGGCTGTTTAGGGCCGCGGTTGGTTGATCTTTAGGCGCCTCCGTAAGATTTTAGTTTCCCACCCACCCACCCTTTGAAGCCCGGGGGTTGTTCGTGCACCTGCATGCGGTTGCCTGTCCGGCATAGTAGGCAGCGGCATGGCAGGCACACCTGCGGGCGGCCCAGGCCGGCGCAGTGCATTGTTCTCCCCCATTTCCAGTTAACACCCCTCTTTGGGCTTGGGGATGGGTGCGTCGGAATTAAGGCTAGCGGAGGCTGTAGGGGACGTGTTTGCAGACGAGCTAGGTGACGTAGGAAGTCAGGTCCTGACACCCTTGAATGGTTGCGAGTTTTGTTTAGGGCTGCTGCAGTGCTGTGAGTAACTGTGCGTCTAGCCGGCACACGTGCTTGTAAGTTGTTATAACTGGCGTTTCTTCGCGCCGTGCATCCAGGGAGGGCAGGCGAAACAAAAGACACTACTGCTATCGTACGACCCCTTTTCCCCATAACGTTTTCGCATATGCTGCTGCCTCTTTACTACTACGTTATTTAGCAACAGTATCCGCACATGCGTCACTGTGTCGCTGGTAGTATCGTTGAGCACTCAGTCATGAGCCTATCATATGTTTGACTAGAGCGAACACGCGCAGGGCAGCTAAGGACGACGGCTAGGATCACACCAAATGAGATAAGAGTTATTGTAATTAACCAGCTGGATTCCTGGCGATCTTTTGGCGGTCTCTTTGTTGCCGATGTTAACATCTTGGCCCTGGACGAGAGTGTGTGAAAGAGCAAGTGTGCGCGACTAGGGCCACTGGAGAGTCCAATGGTGCGTAATAACAATAATAGGTGAGGAATTCGGGAAAACACTAGCACAAACTCCGGTCAACCGGAACAATCCTCTGTGTCAGCATCTTGCCTTGAATGGGAAATGAAAGCTACGTAATCACGGTTACGTGAACGTATTTCCCTAAGCCCCGCATGCCCGCCTTCCAATTCCCACTACAGGAGTGGACTGGGAATGAAGGAGAGGACCAGCGGCACTGAATGGCTGGGCAACAATTGGAGGAGCAAGCAGCCAAAAAACCCTGATAACGGCCCGTATGGTATCCCAGCAAACTTGTCCTGGCACTGCCTACAGAGCTGTATGAAGGAGGACTTGGATTGGAGCAAGAGGAGACGGGGCGTACTACAACCTCGTTGCTAGCTATGGGTTCAAGAAGCAGCCACTGGCAGCAGCGTACAGGTAAGCACTGTGAGGCTGGATTTGCAGCCTGGCTAGCCTAGCTAGTCTGCTGTGATGCATGCTGAGCTGGGCAGCAGGTACAGGTATGGGGAGAGGGAGAGGGCCTCAATTGAAATACACTGCACTCATGAAGGCCCACTTGCTCTATCTGATTGGCGGTAATTCACTGCGTTCAGGATAGGAAACACGCTGAGGACACAGGTGTTTCTGACCAGTGTCTTGCCAAGCAATTTGTGGCGTCTTCCAAGTTTTGAACAATGCCGTACGTCATCTTTGATTGCGATGGCCTGTATGACATCCCCCCTCCCACTGGCTCCGCCTACATTGGGCTCCGCCAGTTGAACCGGTAGTTTTCACTACCTCCTTCCATGGACAACAATGGTTTAGGCGCAGGTGCCATGTGTGGCATCACCGGCTTGGTGTGCTACCTGATTGACGCCGCTTCAGAGCATGCGTGGGCGGGAACACGATGGGGGCACGGCGGAGACACAGTAGTAGCATGCAGTGTGTTCCGGGGGTGCGGCTTTGTTTGCTGCCTGATTGACGCCGCTTCAGAGCATGCATGGGCGGGAACACGATGGGGAACACGGTAGTAACATGCGGCGTGTTCCGGGGGTCCAGGCGTGTGTGCAGCGTGCGGCATTGGCAAGGCTGTCGTGTAACACTCGTTAGACGTGTGCGCCTTTGTGTGGCGCATGATTTACACTGCTTCGGAGCATGCATGGGCGGGAACACGATTGGGTTCATCACCCGTGTTCCCTTTTAGGGCACCATTGTAACGATCATTCATTCATTCACGATGGGGAACACGGTAGTAACATGCGGCGTGTTCCGGGGGTCCAGGCGCGAGTGCAGCGTGGGGCATTGGCATGGCTGTCGTGTAACACTCGATAGACGTGTGCGCCTTTGAGGGCTGCCTAATTGACGCGACGTTGGAGCTTGCATGGGAAGGGAACACGATGGGGAACACGATGGGAACACGATGGGAACACGGTAGAAGCATGCAGCGTGTTCCGGGGTTTTGGGGAGGAAACACTGCAGGAACCAGTAGCTAAGTAATCATATCAGCTATCTCGGTGTATTATTATTACAACTTATCATTTGTAGGCATTAGAGGCATTTGGAAGGTGGGAACACGGAACATGCTCCTCGCCGGACAGCCGGTATATTTATGGGAACACGGAACACGGCTCCCTACCGGGCTGCCGGTCGGGTCGCTTACTGTCGGATCTATCATGCTAAAAGTACAGCAGGTCGTTATCTAGTGGACGTTACCGTTACGCCGCAAAGCAAGACGTCGGCCCCTTTCAACAACAACTGAACAGCTCGGCATGGTGTCAAACAGTCTAGTTAGTGCCATATAACCAGCCGTGTAACCCTTAGCAAAACGGACACCAACCAAACCCAGTGCTGCGCAAGTGTACCGTTACGCCGCAAAGCAAAACGTCGGCCCCTCAGTGGGCGTTGCGGCGCTCGCCCATCCACGGGATGGCGGCGGGGTTCCACTTGGTGTGGAGCACCTGTGGGTGGGATGGATAGTGGAGGAGTGGTCGGGTCGGAGTTGTCTGGGAGAGATAGCAAGGAGACAAGATAAGAACACGAGGATGCGTTTTCCGCAAGAGAGTCCTAAATCGTTCAGTTGTGGACTCACGTGGGCATCGTCGTCCAGCTGGGCGCGGTGCAGGTGCGGGCGCAGGCGGCTCCATTCGGTGGCGGAGAGTGTGCTGCCGGGGTCACGCCATTCAGTGGACGCCATGCTGGTGGCGCGGCTGACCAGGGAGCGGAGCTGCGCGCCCGTGCACCGCATGAAGGTGGCGAAGTCGTCGTAGGCGATGACGAAGAGGTTGCCGCCCGCCGATGCGAGCTCGGTAGGCGGGCACTGGATGCGGCCGTTGGAGAGGTATACCACCGGGTGGTAGCGGGTGATCCATAGGGGAAAGCCGCGGGCGTGGTACTTAGACGCCCGGCGGAGGGAGAATTGGCTGGGGATGGAAATGGCGGCGCCGACAATTAGCGAGTAGAACCAGAGGGCGTGGCAGTACGTATTGAGGTCCGGGTCTGCCGGGTCGTCGAGGAGGACGGCAAGCATGACTACGGAGAGGTCATAGGCTGTGACGATGGCATCTGCGGATGGGGTAAAGGTAGAGGGAGGGTGCGAGCGGGAGTGTGGAGGTATAAGGGTATTAGTTTGGCTGCGTTGACGTACAAATAAGGCACTAACTCAGGGGGGGGGTTAAAAACCAGCATTCGGCGCCCAAGTCAGCACCCGCTCAGCAACAGAACCGGAAACCACGAATACCTACCACACCCCGACCAGAAACACAACCCCAAACATACCATCCATCAAAGAATCCCGCCGACGCCAAAAAGCCCACCTGAACCATCCGCCCGAACACCACCGACACACCGTGCCACCCCCCCAACCCCACACCCAAACAAGCTTTGGGGTCAATAGAATTGGTGACGTGCCCTGTCGCGTGTTGTGCCTCTTCCACCTTGCCATAACTTGCGGACTTACGCTTGTGTTGGGCGACGCGCTTGTTGAATTGAACGCGTTGGTGGGTGGTGCGGTTGCCAATGGTGACGTCGCACACGACGGTCGTGGCGCGCTCGGTGTCGATGATGCGCAGGATATGGACGTCTTGCAGCATGGTGAGGAGGTGGATGGCGTTGCGAAGGATCGTGAAGCCAGCGGCTGCGGTGGGAGCAATGACGTAGATGTCGTAGTCGTGTACGAGGTTGGGGGTGATGGCTTCCAGGGGGATCTGAGGGGTTGGTGGAAGGAATTAGAGGAGGGGGTGAATAAGCGGTTTGATGGGGCAGATGGGACAGAGCGAATAGAGCAAGGTGCAGGTGGAAAGGGAGGTGAAGAGGCAAGGACCAAGTGGGAGTAATGAGGAATTTTAAGGTGGTGCGGCCCCCATGTCTTCGGCTATAACTGTACCTGGAGGACTGCGTAGAGCGCGGCGCTTCCTGCAAGCGCGAGGGTGGCAGGGAACGCTCGCAGCAGCGTGGGGATGAGGCCATTGGTCAGGCAGCCGAGGCGGCCTGCGGAGGTGGTAAGGGTTGCGACGGGAAAATGAGAGGTTGGCCCAACCTTGAAGAATTATAGCCGGACGTGAAGGTGACGACGAGCGAGTGAAGGTGACCACAAAATCCACTCCCACCCCCAAACGACCGACCACCAAAACACGCCGACGCCCCTAAAAACCCACTCCGAGGTGGCTGCATCCTCCTGTCTTTCCAGGTTTACCTTCCACGTCGCGGGGGTTGACCACGTTGCGGTTGTTGGCGAATTGTTGGGGTGCGGGTGTGTTTGCAGGTGCGCGGAGAACGTAGTGACGGAGAGCGGCGAAGGCAGTTGCGATATGCGTATAGTTGGCGATGAGGCGCTGTTGCTCTATGGCGGTGCTCAAGGGGAAGAGCGGTGCGTGTAGGCGGTGCTCGGGAGCGCTTGCGCGAATGAGCAGATCGTCCTTGACCTTGTCCTCCAGGTGGCGGTTGAGGTTGGGCTCCAGCGCGCGGAGCCACCTAAAGAAGGCATAGTCCGCGACGGTGTATGCGATGGTTAGAGTGAGGAAGAGCAGGTGGAGGGCCATGCCCACCACGGCGGTGTAAACGCTGTAGAACATGGCCGGGTGCTGTTAGCGGATGGTAAGGTGTTGCGGTATAGCGGGGCGTGTAAGAATGGGGGGAAGCGATTGATTAAAACGGGGAGGAAGCGTCTGATTATGTAGTTTATTGTGTAGAAAGAGGGAGTGGTTAGGTAGTCACGTTGTGCTGGCGGGCAGAAAGCGCCAAGGATCCGCGGGCTTGTACGGACGGTGTGACAGTGCCGTTGGACCCCGGAGAGAACCGTGAGTGAGACAGAAGTGGCTGTGCCAATTGGTCTTGCGCTTTTGTATACGGAGTCTGGCAAGAACGCTTACGCTGGCAAGCTTGCCTAGCTGCTGCCATCAGTTGCCTCCGCTGAGGCCTACACGCTGCATTGTCACGTCTGCGCGCCTGCCTGGCTGCAGCCGATGCCGCTGCTGGTGCACCCAAAAGGTCGTTCTGCTGTACATGCAGCGCAGTGGAACGCCCATGCCCCAATCCCAGCCATCCCACTGCTGCCGCCGGCGCTGCTGCTGCCGCTGCTGGCGCCACTGCGGGAATTCCCACCGCGCCGGCCGGAGCCGCCAGGCCGAAGCCCGCCGGGAGTCCCACCGTCCCCGCCAGAGCCGCTAGGCCCAAGCCCCAACCAGGCTGCGCCGCGGCGGGGAGTCCCACCGTCCCCGCCGGAGCCGCTAGGCCCAAGCCCCAACCAGGCTGCGCCGCGGCGGGGAGTCCCACCGTCCCCGCCGGAGCCGCCAGGCTGAAGTCCACCGGGAGTCCCACCGTCCCCACCGGAGCCGCTAGGCCGAAGCCCACCGGGAGTCCCACCGTCCCCGCCAGAGCCGCTAGGCCCAAGCCCCAACCAGGCAGCGGCGCCCAAAGACCGAGGCCCAAGCCAGCCGCAACCGAGGCCCCTAGCCTGGAGCCTCCGCCGACCCCCGCAGCCGTACCGCACAAACCCGCCTGCCCCGAGCTACCTCCTCCTGCGACTGTACGCTGCACACCAGCGCTCGGCAGATGCCCTCGCTGTTGTGCTTGCTCCTGTTGCAGACGAGCGATAGTCTGGTACAACGCAACAGCAACAGCATCTGCCCGCATGAGGTCCTGTTGCCGCACCACGTCTGGATCCCCCAGCTGGAGCTGCCATCGCACCGAAGCGAGTGCGTTAGGAGGAAGGTGACCAGCAGCAACAGCATACCGAGCGCACAGCGTAGCAACGACATACTCGCTGTCACTCCTCTGGCGTACTCGATCCAGTAAGCCGTGCTCAAGTATGTACGTCCCAAGCTCCAGCATGTAAGTAGCTACCTCAGGCACTGTATGCCCGAACCCACGCAAACGATCGACGACCCGCTGAACGAATTCCGACAAAAGCCCAGGGAAGCATAGAACCGCATAAACGGAACCTTGACGCTCGGTCAGCAACAAGCTGGCAACTGCTTTGAACCACGGCCACACGCTGAGCCGACGTAAGCCGCTGCAGTAGAGCACGTTGTCGAGCGGGTCACCCGCGCCTGCGACACGCCCAAGGGAAAGGCTGGTACAGCGCCAGAATATAACCGAACGTCATGCGCTCGCCACACACACCTTGATCATCCTTTCCCATGGTGCCCAGCTCGGAAAGCGGTAGCTCTATACCAAACAACGAAACAAAGAACAGCAGCAGCAAGCCAAAGGCTCTGCTAGGACTACTTTCCAGGCAAGGAAGTACTTTCGTTAGCCTCGCCGCACGTGGCGTGGCTTGTGCACCGTTATAAATTGGTTTTACGCGCTTTCTTATACGCTTATTTAGACGTCTATCTAAAACATCTTCGTAGGTGGGTTGTGAAACGGCGTGGTTTTCCTCGCGAAATCGAAGCGCGGTGAAGCCACGCTGGCTACGCAATATAGCCGTAGTAGACTTCACAAACTCGAACAAACTTCACAAGCAACGACACGAGCGACGCACGAAGAGTTGGCCGGCCGTTGAAAATCTGGTAAGATTCCGTATCAAAGAGCGTGACAGCAAAAGCGCGCCACGCTGGACGGTTCAAAGTGAAGGCCGAGCCGTGAACAAGAGCGCTGAAAGGATCCCGTTGAGCGTGACGGGAACGGGGTATGCATCCCTTCGCTTCGCTCCTCCGAAACCGCATACTTCGTATACGTTTTCTTCGAATCGAGCTACGGGGACGTATGCCGATTAATAAAGCTGTGTTGAATTCGTTCTTAGGTAGGCGTATCGCAGCATGCAAATGCAGTTCACATTGCGCTGAAAGTCGTGACGACAATTTTCCTGGGTCACAAAATCACGTGCAGTACAATAACTCTAAAGGCTTTGCCTATAGAAGTACTCTTTTGAAGGAACTGTTGGCTTGAGGACAGCAATGTTGGCGACCATGTTAGGGACCCATTTGCCAAAGTGCAAGCAGGCATCGCAAAGCTAGCGCCACTGAATAGGCTTATGCTCAGTGTAAGGGGGGGGGGGGGCGGGCCATGTACGTTTTTGCACCTGAGGCGAACCGCCCAATGAGCGGCGAACGCGTTTGGAGCCGCTGGGGCCCAGCATAACTACAACATCGCGTCAAAGTATTCAGGACACGGCATAAAGGCAACCGGGGGTTTTCTTTCCCTCACTGGCGCGAGTTGAGCAGTCGAATACTGGATTCCAAAAAATGATAACACCCTCGGGGGGGGACCACAACGGGCCAACAAGATGGGAGACATAGCCCTTAAAGAATCCACAGGAGGCAAGCAAGAGGGTAGAAGCCAAGAAACGGCCCCTCAGCAAACCTCGACAAACCACCATTAGGGCAAAAGACAACCCAAACCAGAAGCCACGACCACACCACCCCAAAGACAGGGCCAAAACAGGACGCTCAACGGCACGCAGAAAGCCGCCCGCCAACATTACGTAAGAAAGGATGAGAAGGGCCAACCCCAGCCCATCCCCGACGGGGAACACCCAAACAAGCAAAACCCCGAAGCTGAGGCGATTAACACCCATGCGCCCAGTTTCTACGATCGCAGCCCTACATGTCACAAGATGCTTGCTCCAAACGTTCGCATGATGCGGGATGCGGGATGGCGTCCAGGCCGAAGCTTGGGGGCTGGTCAGCATGGCACCCTTGAACCCTACATACCGGTGGCTCGGCGGCCTGGGCAAGGTTTGGGTCACGGCAACGCTACCGGCACAGCCAGCGGGTCTAGCATTCGGGGGTCCACGCCGTTGTCCGGATTCGTGTCCGGTGGGTTTCACGACAACGAGTCACAACCAGCCGCATGCGCGTCGCACGCCGCGACCGCGCCAGATACGGGGTCGGTACCAGAGCCGGCCGCCTCTACACCTGATCCGCTGCGCAACATGGCTCTGGCCCAGGCAAGTGAGGGTGCTGAGGTTGCCCCGGAATCCTTGCGTGACATTTGGGGCGATGCACATACACTGCATTACGTCGGGTTATACGTCGAGCTGCGGGGTACCGGTTTGTAGGGGAGGTTCTTTATCGTATCATGCCAGATAACACTTCACGCATTGTCCCTCGTCCGACAGAGCGCGTCGAACTGATCCAACGCACGCATGAGCAAACTGGGCATTTCGGTTGTACACGCACTTACTCTTTGCTAGCCAATTCATACTGGTGGTACGGCATGAAAACGTCTGTAGCTGATATCCTAGCTTCCTGTCCTGTCTGTGATCGCGCCCGTGCTTCCTTCAACGCTCGCGTGCCTGAGCTGAACCCCTTGCCTATTGGAGGGTTGTTTTACCGGTGGCAGGTAGATTTGTGCGGGCCTTTCGAGCGCACATCCCGGTTGTTATGTTATGGTTTGTGTGGAAGCATCTAGCAAGCTAGCCCTGTTTGTTCCCATTCCTGACAAGTTTGCCAACACTACATTCCATGCATTCCTGCATCGGGTAGTTGGGGTTTACGGGGCTTGTGCGGAGGTCACCACCGACCAAGGCGGGGAGTTTAAGCGAGAATTTACTGACCTTCTGTCTACCCTACTCATTGATCACCGTGCCACATCACCTAACCATCCCCAAGCTAACGGGTTGGCTGAACGGGCAGTTCAAACCTGCAAGGCCGCCCTAGTGAAGGTGTGCATGGACAAGAACACCGTAGCCACATGGGATGATGCGCTACCTTTCATTCAACTGGGTTACAACGCATCAGTTCAAAAATCCACGGGCTTCGCCTCCTTGCACGTCTTGCATGCGCAACGGATAACCATTCCCCCCTCTATCCACGAGCACTTTACTGCGCCACTGGACTTGGACGACCCGGCTGTCGCTGCTGAGGACCTAAAGCGGCGTGCTGCCGTCTTGCAGCGCGACCATCTGATTGTCGGTGAGAACTTGCGCATTGCTCAGCATAGGGACACCCTGCGTTATGCGACTACGCGCAGTGGGACATACCAGCCACAGGTTAGGAGGTTCTGGGCGGGACAGTACGTGTATGTTAAGCGGCCAGGTGGCAATAGCGCGCTCATGCCAGATGCACGCCCTGACATCCTACGCGTAGTAGATGTCCGGCCAACCGGGGTGCTGAAGTTGCAAGGCCGGTGCGGCACTGTCATTTCGGCACACATGTCTGCCTGCGCACCATGCCATCTGCCTCTTGTGTCCGCCGAGGTGGACCCACGCATCGCACGTCCAGCCGCTGATTTGCCATGCGAGGTTTGCAACTTGCCTGACAATGAGCATATCATGCTTTTATGCGACGGCTGTGGAACGGGCTGGCATTTGTACTGCTTGAACCCACCGCGCTCCTCTGTGCCACCGGGCACCTGGGTCTGCCCTTATTGTGAGGCCCATGGTGTTACCCCTGCGCAAGTAGAGAGCCGTGGCCTCGCCCAACGCCCCCAGCGCATTGCTGAGCCGCCACGCGTGCCTAGGGCAGTCCGCCACCTGCATAACGTCACGCTAACCAAGGTCATTCAGTTGCCATCCGATGCAGGCACTCGCAAGTTGACTGGCACCACTTCATACATGGGCTCCCGCCGCCGCATTCCGCACTTTCGCATCAGCTACGACAATGGTGATGAGGAGGTGCTTGCGCAGGACGCTCTTATAGCGCGCTTGCCCCAACCCCCTCAAGCCGAGGCCCCTGAGGCACCATCCGCCGCACCCACTACTCGGGCGCGTTCACGGACACGCCCCTCCGCCAATCTCACCTTTCTGGACCTCGGCATCGGGCAGTTCCCTATCGGTTGGTCACCAACCACCCCTGAGCGCCGACTGCATGCGCTGCAGGTGCTCTGCCCGCAACTCGCATACTCACCCTCATGCCCTCCCGAGGAGGAGCACATTCCGCTAGATGCAAGCGATGTGGCATGCCTCGCTGAGTCCCTATGCTGGACCCAAGCAGGACCCACTTTCATGCCATGTCCATGGCATGACAACCTGCTAGCAACCGCATTGCCCCTCTCATCTGCGCCCACGTTTCCCACTAACAACATTGACGATCCATTAACGCCCTCCCTCTACGCGGCCGCCGCCAAGTCTGTGATGTCACCCCTAACGGCTGTCGTTGCTGGGTCCTCCAATGACCCAGACCTCTATTTTGCCATCACTAGTGCGTTCGCTCGTGCGTTTACGTGTTTGCGTGTGTCGCCTACGTTCTTCACGAGTGCGCATGAAGGTCGAGTCGCTTGGTTGTCGCGGATGCATGATGCTGGTCGGCTTTACGTTCGTTTGGCGCCGTCCGGTGCGTTGTGGGTGTTTCTGTTTCAGTCGCCGGTTATTAAAAGTCGCCTTATGATGGGTAACGTCGTGCCGTCGTACTGGGTCCCGCTTGTGTGATTTTGGAGGAGGGGTCCAGCCGTTTGCTTCGCTGTTTAGATGGGATTTCTTAAGTCGGCTTTGGTTTGGGAGTCAGGCGGTTTTATAGCTATCTGAGGGATTCTTTTGGTTGAGGGTTTGTTTTCGCAGGGGGGGAGTGCCAGCGTGTTACGTCCTGAATACGGCCGTCGCCGTTGTGCCCTTCTTTTGGCAGCAGATTCGCCAGCAGTCAGATAACGCCTTCATTACGTCAGATGTCAGGCCAGCTACAGCCGTTAATCAGCACTCAGCGCATCTCAGCTCAGTTACGTTATGGGTTTACAGCAACAGTTACATGGGTTCATATGGCCATCTACGCCCACGTGGGAACAGCCACGCCACCTCCGGCGTCTTGGCTGTTGGGGGGGAGATTGTGGGCGGTCTTGCCTGCATTCTTCCTCTCACTTTCGCTCGAGCACCGCCGTCGCCGTCGGCTTGCCCCATACCTCCATCTACTCCCTTGGCTATTCTATCTTCGCCTTCTGGTACCATCGGCATATTTGGTCGACACATTTGGTTGTTACACGGCGTCTACAACCTCGACCATCGGGCCCGCGCTGCTACTACGCTAGCGCCGCCCCTCTACGCGCATTCCAGGCCTCCTCCATATGGCCTCTCTCCACCACCTCCCAGGACGTGACGTCACCGTCCTGCTGGCTCATAGCCGGCGCCATGGCAACCCGCTAGTTTCATACTGGCGAGCTCCGGAGCTTTCGCCTGAGGGGATCCCGGGATTAGGGGTTTTTAGGGTTTAGTTAGGGTTAGTAGGATTGCACGAGAGCGCTGGGATCTGGGGGGGAAACACTTGAACAATGAGTGGCCACTAGTTTTGAGCAGTCGGTTAAGGATCTGGGGGGGAGCTGTTTGGGTTGTTTGCTTTGGGTAGCTGCGTGGCTTGTCGCAGCCTGTTGCAATAGGATAAGGTTTGGTCTTGTCGGAAGTGTACTTCGTTTTCTTTTAGCAAATGATGCGCAGCTGGTATGCTGTCACAACATAATCGTTTCGGGAAGAGCAGGTTGTGAGATGTTGAGAAGGAGGGGAGGTTAGTTTTGCAGGTCGTAGTACGTAGCCAGACAGGTTTTTAAGCAGGTTTCCTTGCAGGCGCTAGATCCGTTG